AAAAAAAAAAAAAAAAAATTAGATATTTTGCATATGAAAGCATTGTAATGTTTACTGATAAACTGCCAGATTTCATTAACATTTGGTTACTAATTTAAAAGTTATAGCATGAAACTATAACAAGCACAAAATGGTTACGAGCCCAGATTGAAAGAGTTAAGGAACAGTAGTCAAATACAGACAGTTCCAAATAATCAGTCATATTAAGAAAGCAAACTCAAAATAAAAAGGACCAAAATTATTCACTTACACAAGTTTTCAAACAAAATAAATTACCTAAGGAGCTACTGCTTACTCTGTAATTTGACTAATATACATCTTTTATATTGTTTAATTTGACTTATAAGCACTTTAATTTTTTTTTTTTTTCATTGTGTTATATGGATTCTATTTAATTAATTATTTACAATGGTTAAACTTGACATTTTCAATACAAAAGATATAAATACACCATAAAACATTTACCTGATTTCCTGGCATTTCAATTGAAGTACTAGATACAATTTGTTGTGAAGATCCGTCTATTTGATTAATATGTACATCAGTTTTTTGGTGTTGTGAATTCTCTTTTTTACTAGTTGTCTGGAACAAAGTAGGAGAAACTTTTTTGAACAAAGCGGTACAGGAATAGCATAAGTTTACATATTCCTAACTTTTTTTTTTTTTCAATACACTACAATTCACCACCTTTCAATTATTTATTAATTTCTTCAAGATTCTTCTTGAACCTAATATATACATAAAAGGCATATCATTATTTTCTTTTCTTAAATAAAAATTCATAATCAGACACACATCAGGAAGTGGACATTGACATAAAATATTTCATACATTTCACTGTACACGAGCTAAGATTTTTGAAGTAGTTAAAACATCTGATGTGTTTAATTAGTTTAACTCTTCCAACACGGGGTTGGTCGATTTGACTGAGCCACATGACCTTCTGTACTCATCTATAGTTGATATAAATTTAATACTTATAACTATATATTGGGTATATGTTCACAAAATTTGGCAGTCTTTCAATTAATATTACAAGTCTTTCACATATTTCTTAGTGAAGTACTTTTACTAAAATAAAATAAAGTTTAGTCCATGTGCAAAGTAATTTATGTTAAAATTAAAAATACTTTTCGTCATCTCAAAAATCTCAAATTTCCTTTGAGTAATTCCTAAAACCTCCTAAATGCATTTCAAACGTTTTTCTCACTACATCCTTATAGTTTATATGTTATTTTCTCTACCCTAATCTCAAAACTGGATTGGTCAATTCGACCGACCTTGTATCCACACACATACAAAAAAAAAAAAAGAAATAAACCCAAATTAACCTTTTCTTTCTAGTATGACTTCAGATTGTAACCTGAAACTACATCTGTTTATCCTAAGTAGCTCTAAGTTTGTAACATTATACATCTCTTTATAATTAAATTTTATTGTTTTATTGTCCTTTTTATTGCCCTTTGAACCGTGTCTAACTGCTATCTGTGCCATTATAAGTTGTAAATCACTCGCAGAATGTGCAGCTCACGTTACACTATCGAATTACATTACCCATGAGCTGCTCGCGAGCATCCTTCATGAACAATTTTAATTATATTATTATTATTACTTAATTTACCTAATCTAGTCTTAAATAACTTAAAAATATCCATACTTTTAATTTTAGTTACTTTTATAATAATAAATAACGAAAAAATATGAAAAACAAGAAATGAAGTACTTACCCAATCTTATTTTTTCTTGCCCTCGATTGTCGAGTAGAGTTAAGCCTGATTTTTTTTTAGTGATTATAGTAAAGCACTTAACAATCTTTATTTA